GAAAATCCATTTTTGATGCATCAACAGGATAAAGTGAAGGATACTTTGATTGACATTTAAAAGTGTTTGTTTTGTGTTTTTGTCCAGATCTCCCACAATGCTGTGTGTGGAAAGAGGAGGAGGTTCTCAATGAAACAGAACCACAGAGGAACCAACTCATCTCTCATGGCTCTCCAGAAGCTGAGAACCAGGATCAGGAAGGAAGCGATTCTGAAGACCCAGGAAAAAAGAGAAAGGAAGAACAGAAACAAAAGGAGAAATGTGAGAAAACCAAACAGTGGAAAGGCAGAAGTGACACCAAACCAAAAGACCACAAGAAAGCTCAACCAGGGAAAAAATTATATTCTTGTAAAGTTTCTGATAAAACATTTTCTCAAAACAGTTGCTTGACGAAACACATAACTCACACAGGAGTAAAACCTTTCACACATCTCAATGCTCATATGAAGGTTCACACAGGTGAGAAGCCTTTCACCTGTGATATCTGTGGAAAGAGTTACAGTAATAGACAGAGTTTAACTCAACACATCAGAATTCATACAGGTGAGAAGCCTTTCACCTGTGATATCTGTGGAAAGAGTTACAGTAATAGACAGAGTTTAACTCATCACATCAAAATTCATACAGGTGAGAAGCCTTTCTCCTGTGGGACCTGCGGAAAAAGTTTCTCTGATAAAGGTAATTTCAATGTTCACATGAGAATTCATACAGGTGAGAAGCCTTTCACCTGTGGTATCTGTGGAAAGAGTTACAGGAATAGACAGAATTTAACTCATCACATCAGAATTCATACAGGTGAGAAGCCTTTCACCTGTGGTATCTGTGGAAAGAGTTTCTCTAAAAAAGAACAGTTCAATGTTCACATGAGAATTCATACAGGTGAGAAGCCTTTCACCTGTGATATCTGTGGAAAGAGTTACAGTAACAGACAGAGTTTAACTCATCACATCAGAATTCATACAGGTGAGAAGCCTTTCACCTGTGGTATCTGTGGAAAGAGTTACAGTGAAAGAGGGACTTTAACTCATCACATCAGAATTCATACAGGTGAGAAGCCTTTCTCCTGTGGGACCTGTGGAAAGAGTTTCTCTCGAAAAGACACTTTAAATGCTCACATGAGAATTCATACAGGTGAGAAGCCTTTCTCCTGTGGGACCTGTGGAAAGAGTTTCTCTAGAAAAGGACAGTTCATTGTTCACATGAGAATTCATACAGGTGAGAAGCCTTTTTTTTGTGGGACCTGTGGAAAAAGTTTCTCTCAAAACAACCAACTCAATGCTCATATGAAAGTTCACACAGGTGAGAAGCCTTTCTCTTGTGGGACTTGTGGGAAGAGTTACAGACAAAGAGGGACTTTAACTCAGCACATGAGAAGTCACACTGGTGAGAAGCCCTTCTTATGTGGGACCTGTGGAAAGAGTTACAGTTTCAGAAATAATTTAACTCGGCACATGAGAATTCACACAGGTGAGAAGCCTTTGTCTTGTGGGACTTGTGGAAAGAGTTACAAAGAAAGAGGGACTTTAACTCGGCATATGAGAAGACATACAGGTGAGAAGCCTTTCCCCTGTGGGACCTGCGGAAAGAGTTTCTCTCGAAAACATCAGTTCATTGTTCACATGAGAATTCATACAGGTGAGAAGCCTTTCACCTGTGGTATCTGCAGAAAGAGTTACAATTATAGACAGGTTTTAACTGATCACATGAGAATTCATACAGGTGAGAAGCCTTTCTCCTGTGAAACCTGCGGAAAGAGTTTCTCTCATAAAAGTACGTTAATTATTCACATGAGAACTCATACAGGTGAGAAACCATTCTCCTGTGGGACCTGTGGAAAGAGTTTCTCTCGAAAAGACTATCTAAATGATCATATGATTGTTCATACAGGTGAGAAGCCTTTCTTTTGTGGGGCTTGTGGAAAGAGTTACAACATTAAAAGAAGTTTAACTTGTCACATGAGGACTCACTCCGACATCTGAGGTGTTGGGAACAAAACATCTCAGATCCATTTTGGCATCAGATCGAATGGAGAAAATGTTAAAGTCAGGAGAATGTTGAAGGCTGCTAGTGTTTCACTGTGACGGTCTTTTTTCTCTTGCTCTCGGCGAAGACATGCTTTTTTCCTCTGCTCCCTCCCTACCCTGGCCTCCCCTACTTGCTGTTTTTGTACTGTCTTTTCTATATTTTTGGAGCCTTTCTTTGCACATCCTCCAAATCTACTAATTATGTATCTGCTCAACCAATTTCTCTATGCAATTTCTAAAATTTTCTAAACGAGACGTCTGGGCACATGAGAGGCCTCTTGTCCTGTGGGATACAACCTGGATTTATTCATAACAAGATTTCTACTGCTTGCAGCTTGTGGATTCTTGGCTTATCAACAAATTTGTGATGGTCTTGGCCAAACTAGCAAACACTGTTGGTGTGGACAGAGACGCAAGTCGGATGTGAGTCTTGCTGAGACTCGCAGCCTTGCGGAGGACTCGTAAAATTCACTAGCGGGATGGAACTGATCTTGGAGAAGTTGCTAGTTTCGGCTCAGTGGAGCGACCAAACTAATTTGGATAATTGGGAACTGAGATGTATCGAAGAGAATTTAGGGAAGATTGAAATTCATAATCTACCTGACCTAAGACATTCCATTTCTGAATTGGCTTCCCCTGTGTGGCCTTAGAAGGGCAGCATGTTTCCAATCTCCTTGAAGATATATAAATCCAAATGCAGCTGTGGAGCAGCTGCATTTGGATTTGGATTTAAATGCTCCACAGCATGTTATCAAGGCAGGAATATGCCTTAATAACGACTTAACACACTTCTGCCGGGAGGCTGAGCAACGTGGTTTCATAGCCCTGTGATGTCATCGCCTTCACTTATGTCTTTTTTTTGTCCTTTGTTTTATCTAAATGTTGCCATTTGCCCTAATGTGTCCTTTCCTATTTTTTTTAAATCTTTTGTTAGAAACTGTGGAGTACTGACTTTTAACCCAGAAAAGGAATTAGAACAAACCTAGAATGCAGAAAAAAATTCTTCCAGAATAGGAACTTTGACTTATTATTACTTGGAAACTATGGAATACTCATTACTTTTACAAATTTATAGCACACTTGGAAAGTCCAGAGAATACTTGTACTGATTTAGCAACCCAGAACAGGGATTAGAACTTGGAATCCAGAAAAACGATCTTTGCAAATTTTTAGACTTCTTATATATTCAAACCAGAAAAGGAATTAGTTATAAGTAATACTTACCTATCAATCATGAATAGGAGTATCTAGTTTATTTAGTTTGGATAAATATTTATGGCTTTTTCTTCTTTTGCTCTTTCCTTTAGGTTTGTTATTTTGTTTTTTCCTTTTAACTACTGTAAAGCATTTTGAATGGCCTTGTTTCTGAAAACGTGCTATATAAATGAAATTACCTTTACCTTTCAGTGTCTGACCAAGATAAACCTTAGGTCTACTTTTGCCTACCAGCTTGTTTTTCTTAATCCAGCTTTTTGTTTTACTTAGTCGTATTTGTGCTTAAGATGCCCATCAGTATCCCATTAGATACTGAAGTTAAAGAGAGTCACACATTCAGCAGGATTCATTTCTGTGCATTTTGATTTTCATGGAGTTCTGTACCTTGTAGAATAATTGAGTTTAGCTTTTACATTTATTCCATGTCTGACTGAATGTTAATGTACACTAGTATTTTGAGCAGAACGTTCTTTTTAATAAATGTTGGTTTGAAAAAATAATGCTGGATTGTTCAGTGATTGTCATTGTCATTAACTTTTGCCATATTTTTAAACGTCAGCTTTAAGTAAAGTATCTTGCAATTGCCCCTGTTTTATTGTCAAAGCAGAACAGCCAGGAAAAACAACAGAGGTCGTAAAACATTTAACCCAAACAACCAGCAAACCAGTTCCAGATGTGATATCTGATCTACGGTCTGAGCCCGGTTCAACTCTAGGTCAAACTGTCAACAAAGAAGAAGAAAGATAAACATAAGACAAAATACGACTGTTAGGAGGTATTCTGGTTGATAAGGATTTAAGGTCTGGG